ATAATCTAGATTATTACTGGCACACTTTCAATATTATTTTCTAATCAGCCTATATATAGATGTTTAGAAAGGACGCATGCATTATGGTAGCGCTCGTTGCAGCTGTATAGAAAATCGACATAACGACACGTTGGTCCAACATCATCGATTATCCGATAGAACGTAGCATGTCGTTTAACGATACCTCGACGGCATATTTGAAATATTTAGACCGGATTTTATTACACACGCACACATATATCGGGATAAGGTCTCTTGTTGTCTCGCGCAGCGTAACCGGTACCGGTTGTCCCTCCTGAGCCCGAGGGCGCAACGGTTAAATTCCAGCGGGCGTTCTCGCGTGGCGGAATATCTTCCCGCGAGATCCCCGAGCGGGGAGGAAGAGCTGGCTCCTTAACCGATCGCGAAGGGAGAAAGAGGGAGACCTGCTTGAGTGAGATCTTCCGGGAAATTGGATTGGCATTTTGTTCTTTACAAGCGTCCACGCGGAGCCGCCGAGGCTCTACAAGACGGAATCTTCCTGTCGGTAGACGAGATTATACAGGGTGGAACATTGGCCTCTGCGGATGATGAAGCACGTGGTTATATCACTCTGAGCGAAAAAATTTTATCTAATATTAGAACACTTGCATCTCTTCTGTTTTGCAAAAAGTCGCATTCAGTTGCATCAGTTGCATGCTGTAAAAAGATTTTACGCGAGATTTATTTAATCAAATTATTTGGATTATATGTTTTTCTGTTTAAAGACGAGCATAAATTATATTTGTATAGAAATGTTGTGGAATAACGGAATAACGCTAAACATAATTTTATATATATATATATTATATATATAAGTAGTTCTTTATTTTCTCTTAAGTCATTTCAGTAATTTTATTTATATTGTTTTTCTAAAATGATACTGTTTTATTCTGAACGCGTTCCTCAGAAAGTCGGATACCACCCACGTTTAGTTGCACGCTATTTTCAGCTAGGAAAAATTGTACCCGAGCATTAAACGTTGCTGTCGGAAGACGAAATGCGCGGTTGTACAAGGCGAAATATTGCTATCAAGGACAGACTATAATACAGAGAGTGAGACATTGCTATTGAAAGAGGAGAGTACGCGCCCTCTCATTTTGCAAATCCAGGAATGTAATAACGACTCTTGGCTTGGTATCATTTCCGATCTAGCGAGAGCTCCCGGTCTTTACATTCGAATCCACGATTTAAATGCGGTGAATGATATTTCCGTTACAAGTGCGGAACGAGCGCGGAGCTAATCTCTAATGACAGTTCTCTTGCGAGAGAAAACTCGCGATGTACTTGTCTTCTCTCCTCGGTTAACAAAACTGCACAGTTGCATAAATTGCGTACACGAAATCGACGAGAGAGGAAGAGAGAGAGAGAGAGATCGTCGACGTCGCCTTGATTCGATCCACTTCATAAATAAAATATAAGCGTGAAAAAAAAGAAATAAAATAAAAGAAAAGAAACGAACCACCCAACTCGATCCAATCGGATTGTCGGCTTGCGCGCTCGCTCTTTCATGATTTTTGTACGGCGCGTTTGCAGCAGGAAGTGCATGATTTGTGCCGACAATCGCGACACGTGGGCGTATGTATATCGCCCGGGAATACAGCCCGGGTTCGATTCGAGTTTCTCGAAGATAGCCGGGGCTGTATACAGCTGCGTTGCCTGCTTGCCTGCCTGCCTCTATCCTAGACGAGTGAACGAGCGGGGCGAGCTATCGCGAACGAGAGACGGCAGACGGAGAATCGTTCTTCCTATCCTTCCAAGTTCGATGACTCTCGGCGATGATCATCGCGAGGGGGCAAACGTCCTCCTCCCCTCCTGCCCTCCCGGTTCCCCGTTCTCTATACTTGGGTCCCTTCGCGCTTCGTCGCCCCCTGCGCGCCTTCTCTTCCTCCTCTTCCTCCTTTTCCTTCTGCCGTTGCTCCCTTCTTCCTCCGTCTCCTCCGTCTTTCCCCCGCGGGTACCCAACGCTCGAGTTATCATAACCGCCGCCATCCGTCATGCATCACTTGCCACTTTGTGCCCCGGAGAATCCTCTCGCCGCGGCACGACAATCGCGCGCGAAACCGCCGAAGAACTGATGACGCTGATGATGCTGAGCGAATGGTGAGATTTCGCCAGGTGTTATCGCGGAATTATTCTCTCGCGCGATTGCGGCTAAAATAATGACTAAAGAAAAATCAGCTAGCTCTTTGTTTATATTTCGTTAAACATAATTATAATTACATTGCTAAACAATAGTAATTTTTCAGGATTTTATGAAAATTGTATAATTTGTGTATGTAATATAACAATGTAATTTATAATATTTACATATACTTAAATATATCAAGTTACAAAGTAAGTTACAAATTGCGAGTTTGAATCAAAATTAAAGCGTCTTGATATCATTAGTAATGTTGCATTGTTTTCATAAACGGTACAAGCTTTACACTGTTATGAAATAAACATTGCTATGAAATAGGATATGCATTTTGCATTGATTCGCGCAATTAATATTGTATTACGCGCGTTCATCGTTCTTCAAAGAATAAAATTGCGTATCAACATCGAACGACTATGAGCTGCGTGAATTTCAGAGTACATTGTCGGAGGTGAAACTGTGAGAAACGCGCTCTGTGTCTTTTTCTCTGATCTGACTACGATATCGATCAATCTGTTGTTTCACCACCACGTCACAAATGCGGAAGTGAAACGTGTTGAAGCTTTTCCATCTCAGGAAACGCAAATAGTGTAATTACGTCTGTGAATATCTAAGGGTATCTAAGCTATCATTTGCACTTCGTATTCTCCAGTTAACCAGTTATTTCATCTTACTGCAAACTCTGATTTCAATACTTTTTATCAAGCAAAGATAGTAAGAGTTAGATCATCGCCTTTTGCAGATCTGATATCGATGATATCAGGAGAATATCATCTGTCGGCGCAACGACCGTGAGTGTAATTTTACTCATTCGCCTCGCGTATTTTTTGCGAATATTAACTCGCGCGAGCAACGATTTCATCCGGTGCTTTTTTTTTCAATTTGATCGCGCGAGATATGAGAGAGAGAAAGAGAGAGAGAAAGACGCGGAAAAGCAGTTTTCCACGCGCTATCTCGCTTCAATAATTGTTAAATACCTGATGCATTAATAAAAGTCGTCTGACTCGTTTACCTTAACGACTTAGTGTCCCGCGACTTTTCTCGGACGCTTTTCGCGCTGTCTTAGTCATTCCCGGATTAGCGGTACTACCGGTCGATCGACACGGACGGGTCGCGTGTGCAAGTTGGGCACCTGCTCCTGTACCTCCTGTGGTGAATGGTAAGAGTTAGATCATCGCCTTTTGCAGATCTGATATCGATGATATCAGGAGAATATCATCTGTCGGCGCAACGACCGTGAGTGTAATTTTACTCATTCGCCTCGCGTATTTTTTGCGAATATTAACTCGCGCGAGCAACGATTTCATCCGGTGCTTTTTTTTTCAATTTGATCGCGCGAGATATGAGAGAGAGAAAGAGAGAGAGAAAGACGCGGAAAAGCAGTTTTCCACGCGCTATCTCGCTTCAATAATTGTTAAATACCTGATGCATTAATAAAAGTCGTCTGACTCGTTTACCTTAACGACTTAGTGTCCCGCGACTTTTCTCGGACGCTTTTCGCGCTGTCTTAGTCATTCCCGGATTAGCGGTACTACCGGTCGATCGACACGGACGGGTCGCGTGTGCAAGTTGGGCACCTGCTCCTGTACCTCCTGTGGTGAATGGAAGAACTTACTTTAGAAAGACGCGTCCAGAATTGTTTCTTTCTCTGTTTCTCTCTGTCTCTCTTCCTCTCCTTTCTTCTCCTGCATCCCGACTAACGCAAGAGGTTAAACCACGTCTAACTGTAAGATAAAGCGGCCTGCCCAGATCGTTCGGCCAACTCGCGTGCGTTTATCCTCCTCTTGTTCCATCCCCCTGTTTCCCCCGAGTCTCGTTGCACTCTTCTCGTTCATCAATGGTCTCGCGGATCGCCGTTCTTCGTCTGGCGCGAGATATTAGAAAGTTATCGAGCAACGGTATTATCTTTTTTCTTTTGAACATGATTCGAAAATATAGCGTGTCACGTAAATGGAATACTATTTTTATGATACGTACATTGATTATCTCTTTAGTCGCCCAAAGCGATAAAATAAACGAAACGCTTTCGTACAATCTATGGAGTATTTATGGAGATAATTGATCCATAAAATATGTTTCTCACGAAGAAGATATTAATTAGATATGTCAGGCGTTAATGCGGACGCGTCTTTTTATCTTATCGAAGAAAATTTAAGGCAGCCTGTGCAACATATTTGCAAATTGATCACACTTATTAACGTTTAATTACACCCTTAATCGACATATGTAAAGCGTCAGCGAATTAGTATGCAAAAGCGTACTTTTTACACAGGTTTAAGGGAAATCGGAACAGGTTTGCAAAGTGGTCCTCTTAATTGACTATCCGATCATCTCACAGAGTACTTAAGCTTGATACATAACATTGTATAAATATTTACATCTACTTAGTATATTTTTTATTTTATATATATTTTTCATCTTTCTGCGTGTCAATTCTGTTGGTTTTAATCAAGAATTATTATTTTTTTCTCATCTTTTAACAATTTTTTTTTTAATTTTAATTATCGCTTAATTAGTCATTGCTATCTATCTCTATCACATTTCTACTGAATAAATTATGTAATCTTTATGTTTTATTCAAGAATTATGATCCTAGAACATTATTTTTTTTTAAATAGCTTAATTAACTTCTGTCTAGATAATATCTTATTTGATACTATATTATAATTTAGAAAAATATACTATAACCTGGTTCAGCTATTGTTTACATAAAAATTCTGATTCTTGAACTTATGGTATTATTCGCAACTTTGCGGATCCAATTAGATGCCGCAGTATCTTTCAATAGGATTCAAGCAAACATGTTGGATAATTGGGGTCTTCCCTTTCTGATCTTCTGCAGATACAAGATGAATGGCGAATCGTGCTGCACTCCATAGAGACGCCAGATCGGCATAGAAATGGGCAATAGCAGTTCCCATCAATACTGTGCGTCCAATGGACCGTCGCAGGAGGTTGGCAGACGCGGGTGGACGCAGTCCTTCCCTCGGGAGCTTGCGAGACATCATCCTCAACAACCGGCGGGACACAAGGTCCTGCCGGAGCCGCCCAATCAGCGGCTGCGCGCCACCAATAATGGCAGCATCATTCACAACGGGGGAACCATAAGCGGCCGCAGGCCTCCGGCCCTCACGCTTCCGCACGACCTTAATAAGGTAAGGATTCGCGGCGGCTTTTCGAGTCGCGTTGATGACGTGGCGTGCCATGCTGCTCTCGTGTGCGAGAATACGAGTCGCCGCTTAATTCGTTGTATTTACACCTGTTGAAATTTTTCTACAGAGGCACGGCTTTCTATGTCGATTAATAATTTTCATCGTTAGCAGTAATTAGCGGTAGTAACAGTAGCGCTCGCAGTAATAATAATGATAATAATGGCATATATTTTACTTTGGAACATTACATTATATCTGATTCTTTATATACCACCACTTCTACCTACTCTATTCGGATGAACACAGGGGCTGAATTCATTTTTGTTTGAAACATATCGTCGTGTTCGTATACCTACTCATTCATACTCTGCTTTGAGAATGAAATATTTATTATTCCATCGAAACGCCCCTATGAAAAGATTTGCATGTGATGCGAACTGTTCCGATTCGGCGAGTGAAAATATTCTGTAATGGTTGAGAATTGAATGCGCACCTGATATAATTGAATAACCATTCGGAAAGAGATGGAGAATAAAAGGAGATATTATTTTGTCTTATAAAAAGATTTTATTGCAACTTTATCAATCTATATTTTTAATTTATATTTATTGGATTTTTTAAAGATAAAAGAAAACATATCAACATGTGGTATATATAAATACATATGTTTTATATGCTTGAGATATTTATTTAGGTTGCTGTGCAAATTGCAGCCGAAAGTACACGAAAAGCATGATGAATTTTCTGCTCCGAATCTTCGGCGTGAAAGTCCGCACTCCACAAAATCATCTCTGTATCCGAAAAGTTACTTTTAGTTCAATCTCCTGGTTTTGTATCTCGGACAGTCAGTCCTCCTTCTGTCTTCGAAGAAGCCTGTTTCCTTCGTCTAGAATTCTCATGCAGGTAATGCAGGCAGTCGTTCAGAATTCGTACGTGTCTTTTGGTAGGACGCCATCCGTCGCGTAACCCGGTTAAGAATATTCTACAGAATGACTTCTTGCATCGCGAATTCGCTAAATGTATCACGCGACCTTCATCGAACTCTTTGTGCCGACGGTCGCACAAAAACGGCGGTTTCTCATCCGCCTACTTTGTGACGGGGAGGAGGTCTCTTCTCTATAGAGCATTTATTACGCGCATCAGAAAGATCGTGCATGCTTTGTAAATCAACAATGTTCTAAGAATAAACGCGCGTAACACTTTACCGTGCTACCTTTATGTAATACTTGATAGAAAAAAATTCTTTTAACCCATTGCGGATATAATCAGAACTCTTTAATGAACTTTTATTATGAACGTCGGACATATGAATATCGCGTCCACATTTTTCTCTCACTTTGAATGTGAGATGTGCGATTGGACCACCGGCACTGAGAATGATATATGATCAAAAATGGAGTGAAAAATATGAAGAATTCAAGTTAGGATTTTTAAAGTTAGGATATTGTTCTCTTTTACTTTCCAGCCAGGAATATTCCGCAGCCGCAGTACCTCGGCGTCGAATATCGGCGCTTCGCGCGGCCGCAAGCTCGAGCACCGTTGCTGTCAATATCGAAGCGAGTTAGGGTGCTGCATGGAGAACGAGATGCAGGAGATCAAGAGGTTTGGCAGCGAGCCCGATCTGCGATACTCGCCGATGGGACAGGAGGCGGTGCGTTGCAACGGGAAACAACAGCATCAGCATGCGATGGAGCACCGGCATTGCGGAAACGGACATTATCCCGAACGGGATTGCAAGGAGCGCGAGAGCCGATACAGGAACAAAAAGAAGTACAAGGCACCGGCGCCGCCGTTAAACGGTGTCGTCGACAGGTCGTCCCCCGATTCTTATAGGTAGAATGCCAACGCATTATCAATCATTTTTTTTCTTGAGTGACTTTATTATTCTTCGATAACGTTAGTTTAAAATCTGATATCCTAAAATCCTTCTGGAATTAATAATACCTCGAATTCTTTTAGGAATAATTTTTTAATTTTACGGAAAAACGATTTTTTTTCTATATTTTTTAAAATATGTATTTTTCTAGCAAGTTTAATATTATGATTTTTCTGTATTGTTCCAAAATATCGGTATCATATTTCGAAATGTAGGAATCTTGCCTACAGATATATGGAATCTGGCCAGGATCGTCAGAGTGGTTGTCGCGGCGAGGAGGAAGTTCAACCACCGCCGAGGCGGTCGCGCCTCTTCAAGACGCGGGCGGAAACGAAGAGGGCGCAAGTCAACTGGCTATCCTCATCCTCATCGTCGCAGATTCACGTCGTTGAAGAACGTTGCGAGAACAGCGGTGGCGGTGGTGGTTTGGAGAACGAGCGACAGTGGCGGGGCGAGGACGGCCGTGCTGCCAGCAAGGAGAACAGGCTTGCCTGGCGCGATCTCCGTCAGGATCGTTGGTGCCGGGACGAGCAGAGGCGTTTGCGGATCTTTGATGGCAAGAATACGCTGCAAAGAAGCATGAGCAGTCCGGAGTTCCAAGCAGAGCTAATGCAGGTAGCCAGGAAAGTTCGCAATAAGCTCCACTGTGGCGGTAAGTCCTCGTCGGTAGCAGAGCCCGCGAATCTGATAGAGCGCAGTAGCGACATTGACCGAGGCTTTAAAGAGTCAAAAGTCGAAGAGACGAAGAGGCCGGAAAAACGATTGGCGAAGAACGAGGAGAGTTCCCGCGATGAATGCGCGATCGAAAACAGAATCGTCGAGGAGAGGCGGCTGATCGACCGCTGTAATCGATCCGAAAACAAACTCAATATGTATGAAGAACGTAAAGGAAACGTCCGTGATCTTGAAAGAACCAAGAACTACCTGGAGGAGCGGCAAACAGAAGCCATATCGAGTGGAAAGAGACGACTCGTCGAGAAATTGGCGACGTTTGACGAATCGTCTACGGTACACTCAAAGGATCCTCCTCGGAAAAATTCAAAGGATTGTCTGGACGCAGCGAAATACTCTTCGGCGGAGAGATTCTCGTCGGAGAAACAACGGAGAGATCTGCTCGAGGATTATCAACGAGCAAAGAGTGTGGCTAAGAGCCGGAAGTATGAGAACACGGCGGAGCCGGCGAGAACCAGATCGGAGAGTCCGGTGAGACCCTACGTCAGGGCGACGGATCCTCGCGGGCAGGGTTCCGGGAGGGAGAGCACGCCCGAGCGAACGAGCGAGGCCAAAGAGAAAGGAAAGGAGAGAGATTCCGATCGTAGATGGCGGAAGAGC